ATCGTTAACACAGTATTGTTCTACTCATGCGTTAAAACGCAAAAAAAACGAGAGAATACATTAAATGCTCAGTGTTATGTAGAAATAATCAATAAAAAATTTTGTGTTGAGCAACTATTATGTTTGCTTAGTAAATTAAAAATTTATTTTACGTTGAAATTGAAGCATCAGTAACTAAATACTTTAGTTTGCTCATGTAAAAATTGATTTACACATTAAATGAATCGTACCTGTATCAGTAGCCATTTCTATTTTTTTCAATGAGAACATTTTGATACAGATAGAAGAATAGTTCTCGACAATGACTAATGATGGCATCAGCAGTCAAAACAATTTCGTATAATATAATATACATATATGTCTTTTCTTCTTCCATTTCGTTTCCTTCTCTTTAAGATGTTGTTTTTCAAATGTTCTCTTCTCTTGATTTAGTTTAAGTATACTTTTCTCTCATTATGTTTTCTTCCAAGTGTCATTGGTTTTTTTAGAGCTTTGCAAGATAAACTCTTTTCGAGTCTCGAATCATGTTTGTTCTTTCTCATTTTATTTCCAAAATTTTTTGATTCCGAACGTTCAGCGAAATGTGTCAAACAGGACTTTAGCTTTTTTCTAGTTCATTCAAATATATATAGCTGTCGTTTTTAAAACAACAAGATATGACTTACTATTGATCTGCTGGATCGATCACTTGTTAACAATATTATATTTTATTTGGTTTAAAAATGGTAACGGCATTGGAAATTGTTGAAGTACCAGCTTATGTTTCTGAGGGGGAGATAAATACAAATGAAACTGTAAATAATGAAAACAAGAAACGAGTAAAAAAAGAAAAAAGACAATGGAATCGGATAAAAGAAATGATGCTTAACAATGCCAAAGGGGCTAAAGAGACAGTAATAAAAACCATTACTGATGCAATAAACTTCTGTTAATTGTAATTATAATATTTTTACTCATATAAATTAATAAAAAACTAAACAAAAATAAATTAAATACTGAGTTTCTTTTAACTAATTACCGAGCTTTTCAAATTATTTAGAGCATCTAACCATAATTCGATCACCAAATTTTATCTTTTTAAAAACAAACTTCTTAAGTTCTCTCCACAACATTCGTTTGAGCTAATTTTTAATTTCCGGGATAGAGTAAACATTTATCTATCTTTTCATCGATTTTTTTAAAAAGTTAATTAATCCTTAATGAACAGTAGTCGTTGCAAAGACACTTATTCAAATTTTTTGTCCGCTCTCTCCCTTTTCTAATTTGATCATTCTAGCTATTTCCGTTTCCTAATTCGAGCATTCAACCCATTTTGTAAGGAGTGCTCGGGAAAAACATTGTTTCCACATGAAAAGTATCTTTAATATTAAAACAAATTGCACCATTTGATTCATCAGCTCAAGATCTTTATTTTCATATAGTTTTTCTAATTCTTATGAGTAATTTTCATTATTTTTTTCTGATTACATTCGAATGATGTTTGTGATCAAATCAGATAACCGATCTTAATCTGATCACTCAAGCCATTTTGAGTTCCTAATTTGATTACCTAATGTAAAATACATGGGGTTTCAATGAATGATGGAAAAAAAGATGTTCGCGCTACTCAAAGTACGGAATTCCTAGTTGGTGCTGGTACAAAAGTCAATGTTTTTCCCAAGCGTTCCTTAAAAAAATGGCTTGAATGATCGAATTAGGAAATAGAAATAGCTGGAGTGATCAAATTAGGAAAGGGAGAGAACGGACAAAAACTTTGAGTAAATGTCTTTGTAACGACTACTGCTCATTAAGGATTAATTAACTTTTAAAAAAATCGATGAAAAGATAGGGAAATGTTTACTTTATCCGGGAAATTAAAAATTAGCTCCAACGGACGTTGTGAAGAGGACTTATGAAGTTGTTTTTTAAAAAAGATAAAATTTGGTGATCGAATTAAGATTAGGCGCTCTACTATGCTAAAACTAATTTTTCTACTGAATACAAACTATTGAGCGTGTAATAAAAAACATACAGATCATTCATGACGAAATAATGAGTAATTACATACAAGCCAAAACATAATGATGAGGTGTATATAGACATATATGTATTTTTATATATTACTCCTTATTTAGAAAGCGTGAAACGGAAAAATTTTTTTTTATAATTGATAATGAATAGTTTAATCTGTAAAATACTTATGATCCTTATTTCAGTGTCAGCATATATCAAATTTCCCAAAAAAGAAACAATGGAAAAATCCAATTTATGAGCATTAGCAAGTTGAGTATTTAATACGCCACTCTCATTGATAAAAATGTCAAAGAAAAACGCATGACATTTAGACTTTCCAAGAACTTGCACTCGTATGATAAGAGGTGAAGGTTAAAACGTTGAAAAAAATCAATATTCCAAACACTTAAGCGCTCAGTGGTACTGTTTAAGAAAATTTTAACCATAGTCATGCCCTTAAAAGCCCAGATTTTTCGTGTTTACGTGACCACTCTTTTCCACACATGTTTTAATGTTCGAAAAACTTCATAGATGAATGCTGTGTGTATATTTAGATCAAATTCTACAACATTGGATATTATGAAATTAATTTTCGTGACAAACAAATAGGTTTTTTTAACTTGAGCCTTTTTCTTTATCTGTAGGCAATTATTTTAGTTAGTATTTTTACTATCTTCTTGTCTATTGTTCAAGAAAGCAGTGAATTTTTCGATTCCAGGACTGAGAAGAAAAGTCACTTTCTAATTTTAATTTCAATTAAAAAATTACAGTTTTTGAATTTTACAACTGAAAGTCATATTTACAAGTACTATAATAATTAATCATTCATAAATTGATGATGTTTTTACATGGAAAACATATTTTATATGTTATCGCACAGAAACATCAGTTTGATAGTTAATATGAGTTTCATCTTGTGAAACTATTATTTAAATAGATTTTCGTATTTATAAGCAGATTTCAAGCATTATATGTTGTCTACAATTCTGCTACGGGAAAACACCACTTTGTTGAAATATTTTATTGAATTAAGTAAATATGCGTCTTGTAGATAGATATTGTACTGCATTCAATTTTTCAACAATAAAATAATATTAAACTTGCAGTATTTATTTCAAATAAGAGAAGTTCATCAACTATTATAAAAAGTAATTCATGGCACAGAATCAAACTGAATTTTGAACCGTTTATTCATGATATAAATCATTCTTACATGTATGTAGTGTAGAAATCGGTGGTTCTGAATAGTAAAAACGAAAATAAATGTTCCAATTTCAGTTCCTAGAAAATATCTTGGGGAGTGATGACCTAATAAAAGTATATCAGTTAACTGATATCATTTTTTTCTAGAAATTTCTAATTCATTTTTCGAGATTATTAACTTCTATTATTTTTGATAGAGAAATTTCTGCGAAAAATAAAACAGCAAAGAGGAAGAATCAGAATCTTTGTGTCTATTGCATTTCCAATGGTATTCAGCTAACGTGACTGAAAAAGTTTATTCTTCTTTCGCTAGCTTCGGTACATACATTAAGTAAAGCAATTCTCAACAAAGTTGAGAAATTTCATCCAGAAAACCCTAAATTTTGATTAAACTTTGTTCAAAAGAGCTCATTAAACAATTTTCGAGGATTAAATGGTCCTAGAGGGTCTACCATTTTTGGATGTTTTGGATAATAGCTATGAAAGCCATAACTTTTTTTTTTGTAAACTTAATATGAAAACTAATAATAAAGATCGATGCAGTCTTTTATACTCTATACAGATAACGTATTAATTATGCTTATCAATTAGTTTGTAGAGGATCAGACAGGTACAATAGATGCAATTCTTACATCACATAGACGAATTTCGATACTTTCATAGGGTACTTTTGTATTATCTATAGTTATTTGAGTTGATCAATTATATAATCAATGATCATTTCGAACAAAGTAGGTTTTTCAAAAATAATCAAAAGGTAATTCACCTAATAGTTCTTCGAAACTAACAAAATTCATCTTCGATCTCGAAGTGAAAAATCACTGAGTCAATGTGTGATTGAATTCATTCGAGCTTTTAAAATCGGCCTTTACAGTTGAACTGTTCCAAAAATTGAATTTTTTATTATATATCAGTAAGAAAATATTATAGCATAAGATTCATGGCGTGGATGTCGGTGTAGGTATAAGTAGAGAGAAGATACACATTCATACCCATATTCTCTTTGGTGATATCGTTTGGATCCTTGTCGATACTAATCTAGTCCGTTTCCAGATATTCTAACAATGAATTTGAACAGCTGTAGCATATCGTAAACTCTTTATACGAAATGTTTATAGTGTGAAGAATATAGATGATCTCACACCAATACCCAATTCGTGGACGAAGTGAGCGAGTCTGCGTGTTCATACGAGTGGATAATGGTCAATTAGAGATCCTAATGCGCACCAAAGCTACGGCGACACTCAAATCCATAGTCACATCGACACTTCCACGTTCACGTCCTTTCTATCGATCAATATTTTTTTGTTGAGTTAGGTGCAGCTACAGTTATATATTTATGCACTCGCACACCACCTTTTCACACGCGGAGCTCGGATAATCAAGAGTCCATAATACATTGCATTAAACATAAATACATTTTTCTTCTCCTTCACATCCGTAGAAACATTGATTTATTGGCCAAAAGATAAAGGATACTAAGCTCTAGAAATAGTGTGGATCTTCTCTCCATTCAGCATACATTCGCACCGAGCTCTTCTATCTGCATCATCTTAAATGAAGTTCAACTCTTCTTTCAGATGAATTCAAAATAGTATATTCTTTTTGAAGAATAAAAATCAAATATATTCCTTAAATCTCTCACACAATCTTATAAACAAACATCGTGAATAGAAAATAAATTGGTAAATGTATACAGAAACAATATTGATTTGTAAGCAAAGAAAAAAGAGAACAACATCAAAACTTGTCTATTAATAAAAAAAAGATATTTAATAGAATATGTATAGTTATCGTTTGTCCCCTCAATGATAAGATCTTCGTTGATATTCATATTCATATCGTGTTCGTTTATTTTGGTGATCAATTCGTTCTTGATCTCTGGAAACTATTCTTGTATAGCCTTGTTCATTAGATATTTGGATAGAACGTTTTATTAAATCAATCGTATCATCTGATGATCTGATCTTATCACTCAGTCTGATAGCTTGAATAAATTCACTGTATCGATCTATTACTTTTATAGCTTTTAAGCGCTGTTGAAAATTTTCAACAATAACTGGTGGTGGATATCCGTATGCTGCATCTAAAAATCTAAAATAAACAAATATTAGAATAGAATGAATGATAAAAGAAAACAATGAAATTTACTTTTTTACTCCAGAGAAAATAAATGTTTGAGCCATTTCTAAATTGAATACTAATAGATGATTTGATACTTTTACAGATTTAAATATATCCAGTAAATCAGGAGATCGTATATCTAATAAATTTCTAATCGAACTATTTCGTTCAATCCAATAGATTTGTCGAGCAAAATATTCTTCATAAACATATTTTCTAATTTCATCTAATTTATATTTACTTGACAATGCAATTTGTATTAAAAATTCACCCATATCTGGTGTAATATTTTTATTACGATAACGTAATCCTCTCATAAAATTTTCTATTCTATCATTAATTTTTCGATCTAAAAAATGATAGAAATTTAAAAATTAAACATGTTCAATGATAACATCAATTTATTTACTAACTTACCTAATTCAGGATAAATATCAATGAAATGCATTAATAAACGTAAAAAATGACAATAAGCTTCTATGGCATGTCTTGATTCAAACATTTGACCATTGAATAATTGTACAGCTGATTTATTCATCAATGCTGTTAATACACTCAAAGCCATTGATGGAGTAAAATCATATCTTGCATTACCACGAGCAGTACCATAATGAATGACACTAATACTATTTTGAATAATTAATTTTCCTTTTTCAAAATGATTCTCATTAATATATATCGGTAACCAATGATTATAATCTCGTCCTGTTACTGAACGAAATTGCCAATGTTCATAAAAATCTAATTTATCTCCACCTGTTTTTTGTATTTCTGCAACATATGCATCGTATGAGATAAGTTCCAAAACAATTTCTGACCATAATCTTCCGATATTGTCACGTTTAATCAATAGTGGATATCCTAAACAAATATTATCTTCGATAACATTTTGTTTAGTTACACCACATGTTAATTTTTCTATAAGTTCACGCTGAAATTTTATGCGTTCACGTTCTACCTTCAATTGCTCTTCATCTTCTTTTGTCAATATTTCTTGATTTTCTTCTGGTTTAACTGATACTATAGCAGTATAATCAACTACAATTGGATTTGGTTTGTCATAGGTATGATCACATGTAATACATTTAAATTTTTTTACAATTCTATGTAAATTCTCAATGCTTTGTGGAGATGGATTAACAACCAGATCAGGCTCAGCAAAAAAGGTGACAATTTGAAGAAGTGCAGTCGATAGTGTATAACCGGGACTATAAATGTCAAAGAAGAAATTAATGTAGAAAGAAATATTTTAAAATATTAGATGTATCACAATTATATTAGTCAAAGTTATAAGTAAATCGATCGAACTGATTTTATTTAGCTAACATTTAACAGTAATTGTCACTCGAAGAAAAAAAATGTTTTTTTTTTTTGAAAACCAACCAAAATACGTTTTCGGAGAGATCCTGAGAATCGTTTACAAGTTTTTCAAATAAAAAAATGGGTTTTCGAACTTCGAAAATGCATGTTGGTTGGTTTCCAAGAAAATCTTTTTTTAAGAGTATACTAGCTTGATAAATTGGTATTTAGACTAATTTCATCAGTTAGCGAGTTTATTAAATTAGATAAATTTTCAGGTTAGTTGTCAGTGCTAACAAGAGAATAATTCCAAGTGCAAAATCATCTAATGCCATTCGTCGATGAGTCCGATTGAAGATTGAAAAGCTCTATTTCCGTTTGAATTCCCAACTTTTTCTTTTTGAGTTATGAGCATTTTACATGACTTTTGTCCTCGATGCAATGCCTTATTAGACTAATCGAATGATTAAATTCTTAGCTGAAATTTAGTCCATTGATAAGTGTTATAGTCGCTTAAAAGTCTTGACAATTTGAGTCAAAATGTATTTATTCCTATTGAAACATCAACATGTTGTGAAAATGTTTTGATTTTGAAAAATATTCATAAATTGATGACTCTTTAACATGTAAATATATCAATGAGAATGAGTTCATTGTGATTCAAATTTTGAGATTTTTCTAACAATAAACAAAATTTTATGCGTAAAACTCAAGTCAATAAAAGAATATTAGCAACTCCGAACCGCAATAGACTTCTTTTACTACTGACTAAGACTCATTGAATGACAGTAGTCTCAAATAATTTTACATTTCGGAAGATTTTCTCATTCATTCTTACTAACTGCACTTAAATGTAACACTTCTAATCAAGACATCTCTCTCAGTTATTACCTCCATCCGGTAGCCTGCTTGGCACTACCATGATCGATTGTTCGAAAATGCTCGGCATAGTTGGTCAATAAGTCATTGCACAAAGCATGTCCATTTCTAAAAACAAAAAAAATCGAATGAAAAAATGTCTATTAAGTACACTACACTATCAAGTACCTTCCATCATAATGAATATGAGCATGGTAACTAGAATCAAATTCTAAGCCAGGTGCTATATTTCCAGCAGGACCCGTCAGTGGATAATCTTCTGGAATATGAAGAATTAAATGAATCATAATGCCTTTATAGGGTCCATCATTAATCAATACCTGAGAAATTAAAGTCAATTACTTATGTATTAAATAGATCGAATGGTTATACTTGAATACATACATTACAATGTAAAACGAATGGATTTGATTCATCTGGACAGTTGACACCAAGTCCTGGTATCGGATGTTTATCCAGATCTCTCAAATCTCTAAAAAATTTCAATAGAAAAGTTGTCATTCTTATCATTAGCACATTCTTTCATTTATCTGCATACCGTATGATTCGTTTGGTAGCAGCAGCCTTTGTATTTTGTGATTTAAACGGCAGACTCATTGCCGATCAAATGCAAAATAATGACTAATAAGTTGAAGAATCTTTTATATCTAAAGGAAGTAGAACTTATGCAATAGGGTTTTTTTTCTTTTTTCCTTCCTTAAGAATAAAAAACCAAGTTCGGATGCTAGACGACAGTCATTCGGCACAGAATAGAAAATAAACAATGACTCATCTTTATATTTGCAAAATGAAAGTAGAAAACCATTGCACAATGACAAGGTAACTATCTTTGTATACCTACATCTATTTTTTTTATAATATAAAATACGTATTTTAAGTCAGATGAGAAATGACTTTGCAGATATATTTCCAATTAAATACTATTCAAAAATTCTGTCTTGATTTCGAATTATTAATCCTTTTAATTCTCCTTCCCATTGGCTACGGAAATAGCCATTTGTAGAACTTCACGATTTATCGAATGGTAAAAAGAATTTTTTTTTCATTGCTCCGTCATTGAAATAACGGACCTACAAAATCGATAATTTTGAAAAAATTCAACTTTTTCGAAACAAATTATTTTCTACCTACAGTCAATAGATATGTTTCGAAAGCTTACCATCAACGACAAAATGGTTGCACTTCGTATTTTGGATCTAAAATACAGAATTTATAATCAAAAGAAGTTTTTTTGGATATATATGAATAGTACAAGTGTAGACGTTTATAATACGAACATAGAAAGTGTTGACATATTGTTTGAGTTTTTTTAATAAATTTTTGAACAACATTTAATAATAGTTCATTGCAAGCTTCATCGACTGTATTCTCTAGTTTACGTTGTGACTTTGAATTCTTGTCTTTAATTTTCTGTTTGATAATATTCCAGGCCAGCTCAATTGCGTTCAAATCAGAACTGTGATCTGGCCATTCACATAACTCAATATTTCTACTGTTTACATCTTTGTTTGAATTGAGCACTTCTATGCCATCTGACGCCGTCGGAAACAAATGAGAATCCATTCAATATTCATATATTTGCAGATAAAGCTTCATTTACTGTATCAACATATGTATCCCTTTTTAACCATATATCAAATCAACGGAACACATAACCATTTCACCAAATGAAACCAATTAAATTAACATGGACCCGTAAAGAAGAATTTTCTTTCTTGGTTGTTGGCTCTTCTTGTCTACACTGAACAATCTATTGTATAATTCGTAAACTGATATAACATTCTTCTTCAAATATATATTTCTTAATGTTAGCATGATGATGTAATGCAGCAAATCAGCATCAGTTTTCTTCGTTCATATTATTGTTCTTGATTTTAATAGGAGATTTACGTGGCCGATAGCCAAGAGAAAGACGATAACGTTGTATGGTATGTTCGGTAGTATTGAAGTGTGTGAGTGATAGTAATTCAGCGGCAGTAGCCAATCGATTTTGTGTATGATTCGATCGAGTTGTTTAATTTGTGTTGAATCAAGTGCAGGTCGACGACTAGGACTATGTCCAGAACTTACATTACCATAACGGAAATGATAATTATTAGTACGACGTACCGTAGTAACATGACGGTTGAGGGAACATGTTGTTTGTAAGATATTTAGAGAACCTTTTTCCCCATCCACTGATAAAAAATACCAGCAGTGTTCTTCACTCAGCGAATATATTTTAAACATAATTATCGAACAACGAAATAGGAATAAAAACTCAAAATAAATAAAAATGAATATACGGTGACCTATCGTTATAAATATCGTTCAACAGTATATTAAAAAAGTCAAACAGTATATCAACACTTTGTATCTTTATATTAAATTTTTATTTGTATTATAAATGTCTACACTTGTATTATTCATATATATCCAAGAAAACTTTTTTTGATTATAAATTCTATAGTTTAGATCAAAAATACGAAGTGCAATCATTTTATCGTTGGTGGATACTTTTAAACACTTTTCTCAGTTTCATACTAGTAGTCAATTTCGGTCTGTGGCGTATACTCAGAAACCTAGATACATGTAGTATTATTTCAAGTAAATACTGTCAATTTATCGTACCTTTTGATAATGATAACTTCTTTCATAATTTTCATAATATCATCTAAAAGTTGATAATGGACGATTGTATGGGTCACCACAGTCAGCTCGTCATTGAACTACTATATCGTTCTTGCGTAACGTCGCACAGATATTTAAAAAGTTGTATCAAAGCTGTACAATAAAATTAATGAATAATGAAGATATTCTTTACGCCACTGCAACTATACTAAATAACGCTCGAACGCCAAGAACAATAAAAAAACCGAACACATCAATATCACCGTCTTCTTATTCAACTTTAGAAAAAAATCTAACAGCAGAATATATTTTCTTAAGTGGCAATGTCGTCAATAAAACTATATATGCTACATTGGAACCAATAGAGTCAGATTCGCCGGAACTCTAAACAGAAAGGAACTCATTAACCAGAAGCATAGCTACCCAAACCGTGATTTCCTAGCAACTGAGCTCTGAAATGCCTAATTACGTAGAATCTCAGCTTAAACATAATCCTATTCCCTCGAACCTCTACCATAGAAGTTTCGATTAAACGAGAACTAGATAATAAAGGCCTCCGATTAGCTCTGTACCCATCCTTGACCAATATGATTGAATGATAATTAAATAGTAAAAATGTCCCATTGGCTTGGCTTCCAGCCTCGAAAAACCTGATTGAATGAGACCTAGATAGCGAAAACATCTGAGTAGCTGAATTGTCGGTATCGAAAAACCTAATTAGATAAGAGCTTAATGACTAAAACCTACGATTGGTTGAATTTTCGATTTGCAAAACGTTGATTGGCTTGACTAAAATTGCGGAATTATCTGATTGGCTGAACTGCCGACTTAAAAAATTTTGATTGAATGAGAGCTAGACGTTGCAATCATCTGATTATGAGAAGTTATACTACAATGTAGTCACAATCTCAGCCCGGTAAAAACTTCTAATGATTAAAATCGATTAAAATTTCGAAATCCTATGAACTTAATCGGCAACAATAACCCGATTATTCTGCACTAAAATTCAAATTAAAATCGATAATAATTTGGATTTTGTTCCACAATAGTTATGATGAAAATTCTCATATAATTGACTTCAGCCCGATTTTGATCAATTTTTTATACTGTTGTACGGGTTTGTAAACGGCAAGAAAAGTTACAAATAGAGACCTTTCTCGTGCAAAAAATGACAAAAAATTTATTAAAATCAGATTTTTTCTGTTTTTTTACATGAAAATTATCTGCTCTTATTCTATGCTACCTGTTAATCTGCTTCAATCTCCTCTTACTTTTTAATCGATTACAATCATATACATCGAATATAGTCACTTTTCTCACTATTCGAACGCGAAACTCTAATTTTTTATGAACTTTTATAATTGCTCGTGTTTAGAAATCATGAATGTGTCACCAAGTTAAATTCTGGCAACTAAATTAAAGTTGGAATTGGTATATGAATTATTTCAAATTGAGATGGTGCAACTACATCAGTAATCGATTAAAAACTAGAAAAGGCGATTGAGATTAATTAAAATATTTTAATCAATACTAATCAATTGTATGCATTATTTCACTTTTTCTATACAATACATCTGCGTATATAAAACACTTTTGCAATTTGTATCATCACAGGTTATACTCATATCATGTGTGCCTTCGACTTACGAAAATAACCAGTGTCATTTCATTACCACTTTTTGAAAATCGATTAAACAGGATTATTGTTTTAGTTGAACTTATGATTGAATAAAACCAAATTCATCGAATTATTTTATCTAAATTATGTTTTGGAAAAAGCACATATATTCTTCACAATCATGTATATCATACTTATTCTAGAACTTCCATTCTAATAAAGATTACATGACACTTTTATCTAACATAGTTATACTAGCAATTATTACTTCGACCAAAATGCCTTGTATCAGTACAAATCATTTGATTTTCTATAGACTGTACTGATATTCACCAATACTTTCGCAATCGATTGAACAGATTAAAATCAAATTAGTACCCTCATAATCAGAATAGATGCCTAATTCGAATTTGAATATAAATGAAAAAATTCAAAAAAATCTACTTTCATGTTCCGAGAGCATAAAAGCAAAAGAAAAAAAAAATTCTATGCCATCTATTAATCAAAATTGTAAATCGAAATGTACACCCATATTGAATCGCCAAAAAGCAAAAGAAATAATTTATATAAATCGAATTTTTTAATTCGAAAGTACGCCCATGTCGAAGTACAAGAAAAGCAAACACTGAGAATTATTCTGAATTATAATGATGAATCTGATGCAGACTATTCTCATCTGAGTTGCTACAAATATTATCTGACATGTTACAAGCATCGACTGTGACGCTGCAAGCATTTCCTGCGCGTCTACAAACATCATCTGTGCTGGTACAATTATCATCATAGACGCTAAAAGCATTACCTGAGATGCTAATAGCATCACCTGTACTGCTAAAAGCGTCTCCTGTCACGCCTGAAGCATTATCTGAGATGCTACGAGAATCACCTGAGATTCTACAAGCACCGTTTGGGATACATCAGGTAGTATTTTCCAATAGCCATCTTCAGCATACACTGGATACATGTGCAAGAGTGAAAAATAATGCTAAACTAATGGTAACACATTGACATTCTTACTCCCTCTGATTGCAATAATGCTAGCGCTAATTTTTGTGCGAGACACCTAATATTGAACTGTCCAAAAGGGCTTCTCTTCGCGTAACTGACCTTTTTGTCTCAGTGTGGAGGCGCCAAGAACACTCCGAAGAGTCGCAACCCGTGCTCGTCTCTGTGTACATAGTAATGAACGAAGTCAAAATTGAAATAATAATAATAATAATTTATAAATATTTTTTTTTCTTTTTTGGTATTTCAACATGGTTGTGCCTGTCGATTTGTAAATTTATAACTTATAATTAATATAAAATTTTCCTTTTCTTTTTTTTCTATTTCAACAGGAAAGCCGTATTTTTCATTTATTTTCGAAGTA